CCAAGGCACTCTGTTAGGTATGTCCAGAAATAGAGCTCGTCTGATCTCCCTGAGCCAGCAAGTGAGATGGGAGCTCAGACAAACTTGAGAGGTTTTGTATCAACCCACATTTCTGAAGGACATCAGAAGTGTCTCCTCCTATGTAAGATAATAAATTGCCTTTCCAGAATTCGCCCCTTTACAAACGAGAAAGTAACATACAAGAAATGAATTGGCTAACATAAGCGCTCATAGCCAGAGAGTAATAAAGCTGGGCCTTGAACCCATGACCCTTGACCCCTGACTCCTAATCCAGGATCCTCTTGTGAGCATCTACAATCACTGCAGAGAAATAATGTTCTTTCTCCTTCTCTTCCTCTTCCCCCTTCTCTTTTTTTTCTTCCTCTTTATTCTCTTCCTCCTCATTTTCTTAAGTCTCATTTATCCCTAGCTGGCTTCAAACTCCCTACATAATTAAGGATGACCTTGAACTCCTGGGTGCTGGAATTTCAGTCACCTATCACCATTTCAATGTATGTGGTGCTCGGAATCAAACCCAGGCTTCATGCATCCTAGGCATGAACTCTGCCAACCAAGTTACATGCTCAGTGAGTGGCTTTGTGGCCCTTGGTGTTCATGCCAGTAGCTATGATGTGCAATTCAAAATGTAGTCGTATAATATTGACTTGGTTTGAAGCATTATGTAAAACAAGTCTTTATGTAAAACTTGAGGGTTTTTTTTTTTCACGTATTTATTTATTTGATGGAGGGAATACAAACCACAGCAGGCACATAGAGGTCGAAGGAGAAATTCCAGGGATCAGTTCTCTTCTTCCACCATGTGGATCCGGGGAATTGAACTCAAGTCATTAGACTTGGCAGCAAGCGCCCTTATTTGCTGGCCCATTTTGTGTTGTTGTTGTAAATGGTCTTGAAGCTCTAATGTTTTTAGGATCTCTACCTTTGTTTAGGACAGGAGGAGTCAGGATAGCATTTCGGGGCAATGAGGCTGTGTGCAAGAAGGAGAATTTCTGTCACAGCACTGAAGACCAAAACAGCCAGAGAAGCAGTGCTGAGGCATGACCCTGGCTCTCTTCCATCTACTTCAGCATGTGTTTCAAGGCTCATGCCATATTACCTCAGCCATGAGCTATTTTTTTTTCCCAAAGACTGCTGAAATAAATTGGGGGAAAAAATAGCTCAGCGTTCCAAAATGGACTCTCATAGGCTTTCAGTGAACACTGCATAAACAAAAGATTTACTTTACAGCTCAGAGAAGAGAAAATGTAAATAGAGACCAGCTGCTCCTCTCCAAGAGCAGAGGACACCTGACATCCTTGCTGTTTTAATTCATGCCCCAGTAAATGTGTGGAGGGCTCAGAACTGGTGGCACTGGCTGCCAGGCATTGCCATGCATTAGAATCACATCAAGATTGTTTATCAAAAGACTGATGCTTGATTCCTTACACCACTAGATATGTGTTAATTATCAGGGGTCATCAGTGAGCAGCAAAGACCTAGCACCACTGAGGAGGCTGTGTGAACATGCCTGAGGAAGAAGGGATCTGGAGTATTGATCTATCATTTTATTTCCTATCACTTGAGAGCTGTCCTGTTATTGTGTGTGAATAAAGGAAAGCATGGGGCTCAGTGGTTAAGAGGACTAGCTGCTCTTTCAGGTTCTATACCCAGCACCCACGTGGCCGCTCATAGCCCTCTTGTGACTCCGGTTCCATTGAATCCCACACCCTTTTCTGACTTCTTGGGTACCAGCACACACACTGTACTTATATACATGCAAGAGAAACACTCATACACATAAAACAAAAATTAATAAATCTTTGAAAGGGGGACATGAAGGCGAAGAATGTGTGCTGTTGGTTTGGGAGGGTTGTTTATGTGTTCATTTTTAAGGTGGGGTCTCGCTATGTAGCTCTGGTAGTCCTGGAACTCAACATGTAGACCAGTCTGGCCTCAAATCAGAGGCCCTCTGCCTTTCTGCCTCTGCCTTTCTGCCTCTGCCTTTCTGCCTCTCTGTCTCTCTGCCTCTATGTGCTGCAATTAAAGTTGTGAGCCACCATACCCATCTCTCCCTTCCCTGTCTAGGATCTTACATATTGCCTTGTACACCAGGCTGGTCTCAAACTCATAGCAATCTGCCTGCCTCTGCCCCACCAAGTGCTAGGATTAGAGGTGTGCGCCACCACATCCAGCTCCCTTGAAACAGTTTTAACCTTACTAATTCACCATTTTTGATGTGTTTAAATAGTGAGTGAACATTGATTCCCTCTTTCTCATATAGGCTTTCCACATTATAATATAGTATCAAAGATTGGGTTTTCAAAAGAATGCTTTAAGTTATTTGAAGAAATCATTTAGAGGAATATATTAAGATACACTCAAAAGTTTCAGAAGCCCTAATTATCTAATATGCTAATGATAAATTATCTATTTATCAAAATAAATCATATGAGAATCACTAGCTTGATTTAAACTCTTTACAAGAAGAATTAAGTTTGAAATAGTCTACACTAACTAAGATTTCTTTCCTTGTTCAAAATGTCTCATCTAAGTAAATTTTATTTTGAAACAGAAAATCATCATGTTACTAAAACCAGAAGGCATGACAGCCTCGCGCCAAAATCCCAATACATAGAAGGCAGAGGCAGAGGATAACCACAAGTTGGAGGCCGACCTGGTCTGTGTAGAAAGTTCCAGGCCAATCAGGGAACTCGGAGAGACCGTGTCTTGAATAAATCAGTAATCAAATTTACTAAATCCTGTGGGTCGACTCCCCAACTAGTAGTGGCAATGCCCATGTAGATTGCGCCGAATGGTAAACACCAGCCAGGGGACATTGTTTCGTGCATGTTCTGACGAATTTTTTAGTGGATTATTACTGTACCTATGAGAGTGAGGGGGTGTGGCCATGTGTGCGGCAGCGGCCAGGGAACAATTTTCAAGCCCCCGTTCTCTCCTTTCCCACCTCCCATGAGTTCTGGGGATGGAACTCCAGTCCTTGGGCTCTTCAAAGTAAGCGTTTACAACCCAGTGGGCCATCTGGCCAGCCGCCTTCTCTGACATTCATGACAACAGGCCAAAGCCTCCGTCCAGGAAGAAAAAGCTGTTAAGAGAGTCTTCTTAAACGCTGTTGTAGAAACTGGAACCCCGGAGGCTCTTCGGGCAGTGATACACTGAGCAGACCGTCATGAGATTCCCCCAAGTTCAGTCCTTGCTCCACAACTAACCATCTGTGTGTGTGTGTGTGTGTGTGTGTGTGTGTGTGTGTGTGTGTGCCCGTGCATGTTGCTTTACTCTCTCTGTGCCTCAGCTTCTTCATCTGTGAAATAAAGGAGTGATGATAGGGCTTCCCTCAAAGGTGGTGGAGACAGAAGAGTAGATGAGAATGCATTTTGGAGCAGAAAGAACAGTGCAGGATGAGTGCATGGCCCCATGCCCTGACCCTCGGGACCTAGTAATTCGTGGGGTCCCGAGGAGGACCAAGCCTGAAAGAAAAACGGGCGAGAGACAAGGAACGAGACCAGGCAATGAGTTGTCAGGTCTGTTTATTGCTCACTGGAGCTATACTTTTATATTTTTGAAATAAGGGAGCGACTACCCTCCCAAGCGGGAAAAGGGGGCAAATTATCTCCTGCATAAGTGGCACATTCCATGGCTCTTCCTGGGAGCGATAAAATCAGTCAGTGTGGGGGTAGTTTAGCAACTTCTCAGGAAGTCCCCTCCAGGTGGTTGAAGTTGATTGCAGACCCTGGCGCCAGCATCCGTCGTAACTACGTACCTGGGATTCTGGTCCCCAGCAGCCCCAGCCTGGTCAGACAGAGCTCTGGGCAGTCACTAGGAGCATCAGGACTCAAAGGTGGCCTCAGATTGATGCCATTGCCACACTGCCCTTGGGCATCCAGGGCTTTCACAGAGGCTCTGGACCTTGAAGGCTTCTACTGTTAGATGAAAAAGACAGAGCAAGGTGTCTCCCTGGTGTCTTGGTACCTACACTTTGAACTCCGAGAATTCATCTGGTTAGAGATGATGGACATCTTCAGTGTAGGATGCGCTCTATCAGCGCCTGTGTCAGAGGGTGGAATCTGGCCTTTCAGATGAGGCACAGATAAGAGGGTTACAGCTCAGAAAGCAATGCTATTATTTCTTAGCCTCCCCCAAAACGCTCAGCTTCCCCGGCCTTCAGATTCCTCATCCCTCATACCTGCTTCCAGACAACAGTGCCAGTGGTATCCCAGAGCACGTGCTCAGTTATTCCAGGAAACTCCAACAAGAACATGTGGACCTAAAGGAGTTTCACTCATGCTGATTCGGAAGGTCACCATTCTGATCAAACCAAAGGCCTGGCCCCACATTTTCATGCCAGTGTCGACTTTTTCCCTCTCAAAACTGGGCTTAGGGTTAATTTACACTACAGCCAGAGGTTCTGAACCTTCACCAGAAGGAGGTGGTGAGTATCTGCTGCTCTAACTCACCCCTTGACTTGAGACTGCTCCACAGAAGAACCATCCCTTACCTGAAACCACCCAATCTAATGGGAATCTATCCATCTGGTCAGTGGAATGAAAATGTCTAAGCAGGGGCTGGAGAGATGGCCCCGCGAGTAAGAGCGTGCAGTGCCCTGTAAGAGAGTTCAGTTCCCAACATTCATGGCAGATGGCTTAGGACAGCCTGTAACTCCAGACCCAGGGAATCTGATGCTTTGTTCTGGACTCCCCGGGCATGTGAATCCACACATACACACACACATACACACAGTAAAAATAATAATAATAAATCTTTTTCTCAAGAGCTTAAACAGACATTAAACTAAATTTGTGCGGGGTGTAACTAACCATCCTTGATACTTACCAACCTGATCTGCGTCTGGAATCTTATCTGCAGGTACTCTCCCTGAAAACTCCCTACTCACAAGCACGTGAGTATAGAAAGAGATACAATGTATAGAAAGAGATACAATGAAGTTTTAGGTGTGTTTGACCTCACTCTCTTGCCTTTTCCAGGGAAAACAGAAGCCTATTTGGAAGCCATTAGAAAAAACATTGAATGGTTGAAGAAACACAACAAAAAAGGCAACAAAGAAGGTAGGGGCTGTTTCTGGTCATATATCACAAACTTTCCCCATTTCCCAGGGTTCTTATTATCTACAATCCTTGAAGTCAAACTGACTGAGTTAAAGATTCCTCTTAAAGGCTCTCAGATGTAGAGGGGGACGTACCCCATACTTCTCTTTCAGTTGTTTGTTTTGTTTTGTTTTTTTAAGTTATAGAGAAAAAATGGTTTTGTTTGCTTGTTTGTTTTTGTTTTTGAGTCAAGGTCTCACTATGCAGCCTTGACTAGCCTGGAACTTTCTCCGTAGCCCAGGCTGGCCTCAAAATTACAGAGTTTCACCTGCCTCTGTTTCCATGGTTCTGGGATTAAGAGTTCAGTACCATACCAAGCTCCAGCAATGGGCTTTATCATGACATGCTCCCTAAGGGTGTGATAATCTAAGGGGCACCACCTGAGGACCGAGCACTGACATACATGAGCTTCTGGTGGACTTTTCTCACTCAATACACAAGCCCTCAGTTTCTATTTCTCAAAACAGGATCTCAAGTAGCTAAAGCTAGCCTTGAACTTGCTAAATAGTAGAAGATGGCCTTGAACTTCTGATTCTCCTACCTCCACCTCCCAGGTGCTGGGATATATAAAGCCCTGAAGACAAAAATATGTGCTTTTTAAAAAGTAAATCCCAAAGTAGGCATGGTGTCACATGCCTGTAATTCCAAGGCTCAGACAGCTGAGGCAGGAGAATTGCCTCGAGTTCAAATCCTTGGTCTTCATAGTGAGTTCTAAGCCAATCTGAATCACAGTGTAAAACCCTGTTTCAAAGAAACAAAAATTAATACTTGAAGAACCGAGGAGATATGGGGAAGGGTATAGAGTCCATAAAAAGATGGCCCGGTCTTACCTGGGACCTCTTTATTCTGAGTGCATAGTTTGATGGTCTTGCCTAGATTTTTTTAAGAATGGACATAGGAAACATGAAACATTTGACTGTTTGCTCCTTGCATGCAATTCAAACAGCCATGAAGTAATCACAGAAATTCTTAACTTGGAGAAAAACAAATCAAAACAACTATGTGTTATCTCACCAAGGAGGCCTTGTGCTGAGATTTCAAGCTCAGGAGTTTGGAAGAGCTGCTTCTGGCCATAATTTTGCCACAGGTGTGAAAGCACTGAGATTTTGGATCTTGACCATTCCTTGTTTAGCAGCAGCAACTTCTGGGAGTTTGTTTAAAGTGCAAAACCTGGGTCCTTGCAACTCTCTAGAGCCTCAGGCTACATTAGCATTTGCAAAGCCCTGGTCTACCAGCCTGTTTCCTTGTTGGTCAAATGCAAATGTATATTCCCCTTGGTTGTGAAGGTACCTAGAAACACTCTAAACAGCACAACATGGCCCAAACCCAGAATTTCAAGTTCTTCAGTGTGAAGGTCAAGGCCGGTAATCCGCTTAATGCACAAAACGTCTCTTAATGATAAACAGTGTGCTGGGATTTTCCCTCCCCCTATCTTTGCTCACAATACTTTAATACTATTTTCTAGATTATGACCTTTCAAAGATGAGGGACTTTATCAACCAGCAAGCTGACGCTTATGTGGAAAAAGGCATCCTGGACCAGGAAGAAGCCAATGCCATCAAACGCATCTACAGCAGCCTGTGAAAACGGCAGGCACTCTGAGCCTTCCAACTGTTCCAGCAAAAACAACATAGCTTAACAACTAACTCAGTGGTTAAAGATTTCCCAGCCCAGGAGTCTTAGAGTGTGCTGAATTCATAGTAGTTAATCCCTTAGAAATGGGTAGAGCTCTCTTGCCATAAATACCTTATGAAAAGTAAACTTGTATGTAAGCTAAGGTTTTTGTATGTAGAACCTTATTTCCTCCTGGATTTACATTTTATAATCAGAGATGTGCTGCTCTGGAAAAGCCTCTAATGGGCTGAACGTAAATGAACCTTCTTCCCACTGTCTTAAGCTCCCTACAGTCTGAGAGGTACCGTTTCAAGGCCTGCTAGACATGTAAGTACCTCTTTGGATTTCTGTTACACGGTATTGCTTCCAACCATAGTTCTCTGTTGGGCACTGAAATAAACCCACGTGTCTTGACAGCCTTGACACTCTGAGAAACAGACGCTTCTTTGAAAAGAGGTTTTAATTGAGCTCCTCGCTCCCTTTTCTCACTCTAGTCCAGGGGTTCTCAACCTTCCTAATGCTGCGACTTTTCTGTATAGTTCCTCATGTTGCGGTGACATCCAACCACAACATTATTTTCATTGCTATTTCATAACTGTGGTTTTGCTACCGTTACAAATCATAATGTACATGTCTGTGTTTTCTGACACTCTTAGCAAGCCCTTGTGAGAGCATCATTTGACCCAAGGGGGTCATGACCCACACGTTAAGAACCTCTGCTCAAGCCCTTCCTTCCAGCCCCTTCCATGGTCCCCATACACACAAACAACAAAAACACCTATTTTGGGCTGCCCTTTTTAATCAGCTCTCTGTTTGACCTAACGACACAAAAAGGAGGTTGAAAGTGAGTACAAGAGTCACTGAGTTTAGCCTGAGAGTATAGAAGTGGCCAAATGCTTGCGTAAAGGCCTGGATTTAATCCTCAGAACCACATACACACACACACACACACACACACACACACACACACACACACACAGAAAGTTGAAGTTATCAACAATTTACGACCTATTTGTATTTCCCTTTTTTTAATTTTTATTTTTTGAGTTTTCAGGTATGTATTGCTCACTCAATAAAGAGAAAGACTTGTATAGTTAAGAAACCGAATGTTCAAGAGTAAGGTCAAAGTTCAAAAGCAAGGTCAAAGTTTATGCTAGATTCCAGGCATCTAAACTGGATTTGACTTAAGCCATGTTACCCCACCAGATGACACGGCAAAGCAGAGATAAAAATTGCCAAAATAAAAAAGGTTATAAACTTTAGGTTCCTGCAACTTGTTTGCCAACCACCACAAACACAAGCCTGAAGATAAACCACACAGCCCAGTGGTCCTCTGATGGCATCGGTGCTCCCAAACCAAAGGTGGCACTGGAATATTATTTTAAACTTGGTTACTATTGTAAACTAATTGCATAAATACATTAGATTTGCTTGTCTGGAACCATAAACAGAACAAGCTTTGTAAATGGGCTGTTCTTGCTTATGGTGACCCCGTGGTGCCTGCTCTGAAGCCCCTCCCATACTCACAGTAGCCCTGGGTTTTCACAGTTAGAAGATAGTCTGTCCCAGAGAGCTACAGAGGCAAACAAAACAAAAAGCCTGCCAGGCTCACAAACTAATCTCTCCGCATGCTCTGGAGAAGCCAGTACCCAACCACAGGTGAGTACGAAGAGGAAGCTTTTGCCCACGCTGTTTTTGCCAAAGCACCCGGTGACTCAAAATTGCTTAATGAGCCATCTGTGCTAACTTGACCAACTCTGCCTTAACCACTGCTTCGACCTCAGACAGGAAACTGGTTCAGGCTGGATCATCCTAGCCTCGCACTTTTCTAGAGCATACCTGAGTGTCTATGCAAGACTTTTTTAAGTAAGAGATTTCATTATTTTATTTTGTTTTTATTCCATTATTTTTATTGTCTTCATTAGTGCCTCCTGGTAAGCAAAAGAGAAGAGGCTCGCTTGATCCTATTTTATAAACAAGAGCATCCTTTCACAGAGGAGTCAGGAACACTAGATGAGTTCAAATTCATGAAGTCAAGAGGTGGTGACTACTGGGTGGTAAGGACCTAGCCCTCTCTACAGTGATTCCATGCCAAGGTCATGGTATAGCACTGTATCCATGAGGCAGAAGGAAGAAGGACTCAAGTGTCAGGCAATGCTGAGCTACACAGCAAGACCCCGTCACAAAAGAAAACAGAAATGGCCAAATGGTGAAGAAAGTCTGCGATCCCCACTCAAGAAGACCGAGGCAGGAGGATTGGTGGCTGAAGGCTGCCTGGGACTCACAGCAGCTTCCGCTTCCAGTTATGATGTGGCATAACTTAGAAGGCTGGGGCAAGGTTGCCGTATGTTTGAGGCTAGGCAGGGCTACATAGCATGTACTAAGTCAGCCTTGAAGAGGTGTCAGCTCAGGACCCCCAAGACCAAGTTCTCAGATTTATTTGTCCCAGAGGGACAGAGCAGGGAATAAGAGACAAAGAGACAAAGAGAATGAGGGAGAAAGGAACAAAGGAAAGGGGGAAGAGTTATTTGTCTGGAAACACACACACACACAAATACACAAAGGACTGCCTCTGAATAGAGAGAAGACAGATGTGACCATTGGGCAAATGGTGGCTTATAAAGGTAAAAGGGGAAACTTCATGTTAGGAGCTGTTTAATTCTGATTGGGCGTGTTAATCATGGTAGCCAAAAGGGGGCTTTTGATTGTTGGACTTCAATACTTTGATAGCTGGATCTTGGTAGGCAGCCTCAGGAAGAAGAGGTAACCATTAAGGTAATAGACCTTGGGGACCAGCTTTAGGAATGCAATAGAGGGAATGGGGGAGAAGGACAGGGCCTGCCAGAGCCATGTCTGGCCTGCTTAGGCTGGCTAGAGCCCCTTCAAGCCTGGGCTGCATAACAAAATCCTGTCAAAACAAACAAATCCCTGTAGTCCAGTACATTTAAAACTGACTACAAAATTAATATATGAAGATGAGAAATATTTTAGCTAGAAGCTGCTGACAGAAAAAAATAAAACACTTGAGAAATATAGTTGAGCCTATGGACATAATTTCAAATTTGAGCTTCTGTGATACCATCAATCTTGGCCAAATTAAATAATTTTCTGCCAGACACAGCTATGTTTTTTTTTGTTTGTTTGTTTGTTTGTTTGTTTTTTATTCCTATATACCACAGTAGCTTGCTTGGGCCTCTTCTGTTTTCCTTTTTGTTTTCTCCTTTTCCAATTAAACCTCCGCAGCTCAAGTAACAGCAAAAACAGTGAACCACAGTCAAGAGCATACCCAATTCTGAGCTGGGGAGATGGCCCATCCGCAAGCTTGGGGAACTGAGGTCAGATCTCTTGCACACATGTAAAGAGCATGGGGGCTGGGAGGGTGGCTCAGGGGATAAATATGTTGATAAGTAAATATGAGGACCAAGACTTCACATGCCCCAAACCTACTTAAAATCCAAGCAGGCATGCTAGCCCCCTGCAACCCCAGCACTCAAGAGGCAGAGGCAGGGACTCCCTGGGGCAGACTGGATAGGTAGCCTAGCTGGAGCTGGTGAGTTCCAGGTGCAGGGAGAGACCCTGAGTGGATAAATAAAATAGAGATAGAGCAAGACGTCAACTTCTGGACTCCACACGTGTACATGCAAGCACATACAAGCATGCATGCACTCACACACACACACAGTGTGAGCACCGTATTGCAAGGGTGCTATGAGAAACAAGGAACAAGACACAAAGGATTATGGTGAGAAACAAATCAGGAAGACCATAACAGCTTCCACTTGCCACCATGGCACCTGCTGGCTCTCCCAAGGCGGGGCCTGTGTCTGTGGTGGTTTAAAGGAGAATGACCTCCTGAGGCTGATGTATTGGGAGTATGTGGTCACCGGAGGGTGGAACCGTTGGTGAAGGGTTAGGGAGATGTAGTCTTGATGGAGGACAGATATCACTGAGAGACGGCTCTGGGGTTCCAGAAGCCCACGTCATTCCCAGTGTGTTCTCTTTGCCTGTTTGTCGATTAACATGTGAGCTCTCAGCACTGGTCAGACCCATGCCTGCCTGCCCTGCCTGCTGCCATGTTCCCCATCGTAATGGTCATGGACTCACCATGTCAAACTGTAAGCCCCAAATAAACTCTTTTTTTTTCTATAAGTTGTCTTGGCCACGGTGCCTTAGCCCAGCAGCTGAACAGTAATGAAGGCAATGATCTTCTACCCCTGCAGTTTTGCTGGGCTAGCATGCCAGGGCTTCTGCTCCTGATGAGTCCAAGACAGAGGAGCAAAACAGGAAGAAAGAAAACAATAGAGAGGAGAGGAGCCACTAAACACAGGGAAACAGTCTCCATTTACTCCACAGATATCAGACTCTTGAGTGGCTTTCAAGACTGAAAATACATCAACTGTCAGCGGCATGGAGCTTAATGTCTGCTGCTATAACTTACAGACATAATAAAAGGCCAGACGAGTCAAATGAAACAAAAACCTAACTTCTAATTCAAATGAGCGCAGCAATGACACTGTGCCTGAAGTGACAGAGATACAGCCTCAACAGAATTCCTTGTGTCTCGCACCGATGTAGTTTTACTAGTTCTTCTGTAATCCCAGCACTTTGGAAGGTAAAGACACATGAATAAAGAGTTCAAGGTCATTCTCAGATACACAGTGAGTTCAATGTCAACCTGGACTACATGAATCCCTGTCTTTTCAGCAAAAAAAGAAAAAGAAAAAGAAAATCAACTTTACTTCCCTATTTTGAAAAAAAGAAATGAAGGCTCCTATGTGAAAACATAGTTTATTTTCTCATCCAGACGTTTGTACTTTTACAAAATAGCAGACAAAATTTGGTTCTTTACATTAGTACAGAATATGTGATACTGAAATATATATTATAGCACTTGAGTTATAAACACACAGCAAACGCATTATCACTTCACAGCCGCCAGGTTTTCCACACACTGACAATCTCATCAGGAAACAGGCATTGCTTTTGGCTTAAATATATAAATAGTCTTGGAAGCTTTTTGCATCTACAATAGCTGGTCGAAAACTCTCACCGTCTAGAAACGTGATAGGCTTTAGGATAAGTACAGCTTTGCTATCATGCCATAAGAAGACTTAACTACAGGAAGCCAGAGGAACCGGCCACTTCAGTGCAGCTGCGGTTGGTCTACATATCTGTGGCCCAAAGAGGCGTGCGCTATGGGAGTCCAGAAGTCAGTGTTGCTCCTGAACCCTGGGCCGGTGGTTTCTTTAGGGTCCAGCCATTCTGTGATCAGGGTTGGAGTGCTGTCCGTCCGCCAGTCACTAACTATGATAAAGAGAAGTGGCATAGGGGCTGTCTTCATCCCTGAAGAAAAGAAGTACGGCAGAAATCAGTGTTCACAACTGTATTCAGAAAGACACACATATAACTTACTGTCCACATGCTACAGAAAAGCAGACATAGGCAGAGAGAACATTATGTGCACCTTGGAAGGCAGCGATAGGCCCTACTTGTTCAAGGGTAGTGTCCTTCTTTCTGTAGGACCCTCAGTAATTAGATAAAGAGTAGCATTTGCTTACATAATGTCTAAACATATTAAAGACATACTAAATTATATTTGTTTTGTTGTCTATCTTCCTCTTCTTTCTCAAAAGTATTTAAAAGCCAGGAGTGGTGGTTCATGCCAGATGGCAGGCTGAGGCAGAGGAATGACAAGACTTTAAGGCCAGCTGACCCACAGCAAAACACTGACTCAAAAATAAGTGAATAAATAAAAGTAAAAAGGATTTGAGGTCCATACAACAAATGGTGTTTATTATAAAATAGAAATTTTAAAAGGAAGACTAAAAAAAAAAAAATCAATATATTAATCATAGAAAAGGACATAGTGGTTGAACCTTGGCATCAATTTTATTTACAAAAAAATAGCAAACAAGATAAAAAGGAAACTAGTTTGTGTCCCTTCGTGAAATCATATAGGAAAAAGGACACCAATTATACGTAGAGAGAAAGGTTTGCCCTGGCGTCAAGTTTTAAGCACTCACAAGGAATCTTAACATGGGAATTCTGGGTAACAAAGAGCAGCAGTCTTGACAAGTGTTATAAGAATCGGTGTTTTACGTCTTGTCCAGGGCACTGCTTCCATTGAAAGTGTCATGAGATGTTCTAGTTCCCACTGCTACCTCACAATGCTAGCTGAACAGTAACACTAAGCAAAGAAGCAAACTGTTTGTGCTGACTAATAGAGACAGGCAGGTCAACCGTCAAAGCCGTGGGCAGCAGCTCTGTGTACATTTCATACAGCAAAGATGCCCCTCTAGGGCTGAGGAGATGGCTGTCCATAGTGCTTGCTGCACAGACATGGGAGCAAATTCATAATAAGCCCAGGCCTGGTGAGACCAGGGCCAGGGGGATCCCTATGTACCCAACCTAGCCTATTTAGCCAGTCCCAAGGGTCTCAAAAAACCCAGGTAGACAGGATCCGGAAGAACGGCAACCTAAGGTTGACCTCTGACCCTCATGCTCCTGTGCACACACATACATGCACACCCATGCACCTGCACACAGAAGCACACATGCTTTCTACAGTTAAGATGGGTTTTCAGACAAACGCATCCTAAGAGTATGCGGTCCAGACGCTGACACCTATACCCGGAACCTTCACCTGCTCTCTTCTTTGAGTTTCCTGGCTGCCTGTGTGGATAGCTTAATCTGTAAATCAAGTCTCTGCAGGAAATCTCTGGCGGACACTTCCTCGGGCTGTGCAGGCTTGGGGTCTGGGTCCTGAGGACTGGGAGGGGGCAGTTCTTCCCCAGCCGCCGAGGGCTCCTCTTCACAACAAAAACTGCCGTCAACAGCTTCCTTTTCTGGAGAGTCAATGGAGTTGAGTCCATTAAACACCAAAGGCTTCTCTGATAGGATCGGGATGCTCAGAGTTTTCTTCAGGAATATGCAGTCATTGGTAAACAGTTTGTTGGCCCTCTTAATCTGTTCCATCTAAAACACACACAAAAAAAGAGAGAGAGAGAGAGAGAGACACGGGGTTATACACAACCAAGCTCCAAAGTTGACGCTATCGTACGCACGGACATGTGTGAACGATTGCTGCACACGGCTGCGCTGCCTTGTGCTCCGGCAACTTGACACAGAGCAGAGCCATTTGGGAAGAGGGACTCTCGATGGAGAAAATGCTTCCATTAAGATTCGCCCGTAGAAGAGTCGGCAGTGCACTTTCGTGATTAGTGGTTGGTGTCCGTGGGCCCGCCCCACAGGGTGAGTGCCACCCCCGGGCAGGTGGTCCTGGACGATGGAAAAATGCAAGCTAAGAAAACTGTGACGACCAAGCCAGTAAGCAGCACTCCTTCATGGCCTCTGCATCAGTTCCTGCCTTTAAGTTCCTGCCTGAATTCCTTTGAGGATGGACAACAAGCTAAAACAAAACCTTTCCTCCCCACATTCCTTTTTTCTTTCAGCCCCCAACATAATATTTTTCTTAATTTTTTGGGAATTCCATACAATGCACCCTGATCGCTCTTGCTTCCCCTTCTTCCCTGGTTCACCCTCTCACCCTTGCACCATCACCCTTTCCACACACACACACACCAACAAACAAACACACAAACAAAAACACCAAGTCCAATTTGTCTTGTCCATACACTCACTAGAGCACGGTTACATTCCCAGTGGCCAGCTCCTTAAAGAAAGCTGAGTCCTTCCGTCCGAATGCATCGTCATGTCCTGTCCCGCCCCTCCTCACCCCACCCCTACTTCCCATCCCAACCTCTGCCCCACACTCACTCACACTCCCCACCCCCACCAGAAGCCATCAACCGTGAAGAGCTACACTTCAGCATCTTTATCACAATGTTTAAGGACTCTTTTCAATAGCATCCTGTCTGGACTGTTTTATTTGGGGGGAAGTTGGGAGAGGTTGTCACAGAGGCCTTCGGTGTCTCTCATTCTCAGTGAAGAGTCTGCAGCCATCAACACCACCTCGAAAGAAGCTCCCCTGCCCATAGCAGCCGGCAGCGGCATGGATCATGGGCTTCCACACGGTTTTCCCGGTGGCAACATGGATCGTGGACATCAACACAGCCTCTGCTGACAGCATGGAACACAGATCTGGAAACACGGCCTCTGGCTGCAGCATGAATCACGAAAGTCTTTTAGGCAGCCTCAAGCCAGAAAATGAGCCATTCTTCATCTCAGATACCTCCTGTTGCTCCACGTCAGGGGGGTCGTGGGCACTGTGTCTGGGGACAGGACCTGCACGAGCTCCAGGCTGCTGTACACCACCCTGCCCTCAGCACCAGCCACCCCACCAGCACCCTGAACACAACCGTCACGCCTTCAGTCCTCGGCAGTGCCACCATCCGGCGTCCACGGTGTGTCGTGCGCCCCACCCCCACCCCAACTTGCTTCTGATCATGGTCTTTTATCACAGCAATAAAAACTCTAACTAAGGCAAATGCTTCCTCTGCATTCAAGGGTCTTTCCCTCTGCAGACAGCTTCTGCTGTTTCAAGAAATAGCATGAAAGTCATTTTCTCCTATACATGGAGATTTGTTTATCTTGTTTTGTTGGGGGTTTTATGTTGTTGGTTTGGGTTTTATTGGGTATTTTTTGTTTGTTTGTTTGCAACAGGGTCTCACATCGCCTGGGTTGGGCTTGAACTTAATATTTAGCCCAGGATGACTCTGAGCTTCTGATTTTTGCCTCTATCTCCCTGGTGCTGAGATTATGTGTGGTGGAGGTTTTGGCTTCTTTGTAAACTCAGTTGTGTTGTGCTGTTTTGATCCCAGGTGTGGGATTTTATTTGGGTTACAGTTTGCCCACACCTGTTAGTTGTCTCATGCGGAGCATGGCTTTGGCCAGCTGGTAACAGCCTTCCTCCTGTGCCACGGAGAGGGATATGGTCTAGGACTCTGAGAGTATAAATACAAGACCGAGAAAGAGAAGGGGTGGCATTTGGTGTTGGCGTGTGGCGGGTAACAGTGTGGAGAGACCAGAGACCAAGGACCAGGGACCAGAGACCAGAGACAACCTGACGGTTTGGAGCAGACAGAGAGAGAGAGAAACACTTAGGGGTACAGCAGCATGGAGAAGCTGCTGGCTGCGTCTGCAGTTGACAGAGATTGGTACAGAGCCCCAAGAGAACCCCTTGACCCTAAATAGCTGGGCCCCTCTCCCCACTAATCTTTTCTCTCCCTCGCAAGGGTTGGAAGGCTGGAAGGGAGTTTGAGGCCTAAACACCCCAAATAAAGTAGAGTTTTAAAAAAGAGTGCTACAATTATGCGACGCCGTACCTGGTTTAGGCAAATCTGCAGCTTCAAGAATGCCGGGCAAGTACTCTGCCAGCTGAGCTACACCCTCTATAGGCTGCTTTACTGCCAGTAGTCCTAAAGCACTGAAGCATAAAGATGTAGCATTTTTTCACTTATTTCTTTCTTTTATTTAAAGTACATTTTTAATTGCTTTGCATGTATGGGTGTTTTTGCCTGGGAGCATGTCTGTGTACCATGTGCATGCAGTTCTCTGGAATCTGCTTGGTGAATTAATAGACCCAGGAGGTGTGTGCGCATGTGCGCAGAGTGTCAAAGAATGTTGCAGCCATTGAGAAGGGCCTCACAGAGAAGGTGTGTTCTGGTTCTGATCCTTTTGACTTCAGATGGGCCTTTAAGAATCAGGATCTGGGGGCAGGTAAGAAAAGGAGAGAGGAGACATTTTACAAATAGTCTTTTTTTCCCTCTCTCTCTCTCTCTCTACAGAGTGTAAATATTCACTGTGCAAATACAAGCGTTCACGGGGAATGCACGCACACATGTGGCAGATGAAGCACTGGAGGCTGGTTCTTATCACCCCCGACTCTCACAGCCTGTGGAGGCCTGAGGCAGGGAAAGGGTGAGGCAGAGACTAGAACTAGCTCTCATAACCCCCACAACAGCCCTGCAACCTACATCTCTTGTCAAATGAGGAGATGGGAGAAAGTTAGTGCCCTACGCCCACAACACTGGCGAGCACAGAGAGGGCTCACACTCACTGGCTCGCAGCTTGGCGGAGCACATCTCTTGCTACTCTCCTCGTGTGCTGTGTCTACACTTCCCCGTCCCAGCCCGTGAACTTGCACTATGACAGGCACCGCAGCAGGTCACTTACACAAAACCTTTCCGGTGAGGTAAAGACAGTGAGATTTCGAAACAGCCTGAATGACTCAGTTCAAATCCCTCCCTGCAAGCTTGAACAACACAGACCTACACACATGTGTAAATTAGGACATACTGTTGTAAAACAGGCATCACCTACCACAAGGGAACTGCAAAGATGAAATGCATGTATATTTATAAAGATATACATATATGCTTAAATATAAAGAGTGTATGTATGTGTGTGTGTGTGTGTGTGTATGTGTGTGTGTGTACAAACATACACATGTATAGAAAGAGATAAATGGAAAATATTGTCATCCACTGCTAGGTGCTTTGTTAACATCTAAGCATGTATGTACTTATGTATGTACGTATGTACATGTGCCTCTCCATCCGTCCATCTGCCCTCTAGCTAGCATCCAAACGTGAAGAAACTCATTCACAGAGATGACTGGTTCAACAGGCACGTGCAGCTCTATAAATGTTTGATCTGGGATTTCTGTATCACTCTGAAATCGACACAAGGTCTGATTCAGATACATGATTAACAGAATCAAGTTTTGGAAGCCTTTAAACTCATTCTTCGTAAAAAAAAAAAAAAAAAAAAAAAAATTCTACTTAAAAGAGTCTAAAGAAACAACGGTCAAATAAATGGGCCCAATTTCTCCTGCCTTGTTTTGTTTCATAACAGCATTTGGCTATCTAGCCCTAGCTCTCCTTGAACTGACCGCAATCCTCCTGCATCAGTCTCCTGAACGCTAAGTCTAAGCATCTGCCACCGAAACAGCCCTTCCCGCTTCCTTATGGTAAGGAGAAGCCATGAAAATAGTACCACCATCATCATCATCATTTATATATGTGAAACCGGATGTGTGACTGGGTCTCACTATATAACCTTGGAAATTATTGGCCCAGAATTCACTATGTAGATTAGGCTGGTGCTGAACTCACAGAGGTCCCCCTTTCTTTACTGCCTGAGTGCTGAGATTAAAAAAGTGTGCACCATCATGACCTGCCTTCTCCTTCCTTGGGGGGAAAAAAGTTACCAAAAGGAAGAGAAATGGTGTTCTGGTTTCTGGTGGGTTAGCAAAGGTGAGACAAAATGAAAATCTAAATACCCCAAGTACCTCCAGTTAGCAGCAGGGTCAGATATGAGTGTTTTTGTGTTGTTTGTTCACTAAAATAAGTCACTGTTTAATTTTTAAAATTATTGTTATGTGTGTATGCATGCATGTGTACACACATTCACATATGAGGGCTGGTGCTCAAAGAAGCCAGGGGTATCGGAGCCCCTGGAGCTGTACTTACAGGCGGTTGTGAGTCACATGACCTGGGTGATGGAACTTGAACTCCAGTCCTCTAGAAGAACAGTAAATGCTCTTCACAAGCTCCCCAAATACACCTTTTTTAAGAGTCTAAATACACACTCAGGACTGAAGAGATTGCTCAGTGGTTAGCAGCAGTGGCTGCTCTTCCAGAGGGCCCAGGCACTAACTCCAGTTCCAGACAGTCCAGCACACTCTCTGTGAACAGTGGATATACGTGGTGCTTGCACAGACATAATGAAGGCAAAACTCCCATACACATAAAACTAAAATGAACAAAATTTCCAAAGAAAAATTAAAAGTTTAAATAAATACATGCTTATTTAGTACAGGAGACAGGAGGAAGGTAAGAATTTCCTCTTATTAAAAGCTTTATCTTCTTCAAAGTAAGCATATATAAAAGAGGCCGGCAGGACAGTCAGTAAGCAAAGAAAGACATTTGGAAACCCTGGGGGCCTAAGTTAGAACCCTGGAACCCACGAAACAGCCAGAAGGAAAGAACTGACTCCACAAAGGTTGCCCTCTA